TATGGCTTTATGAAAATCACCAAGGCCAATACTCACGTGACGAATTATATCTAGACCGCGACTCTAGCAAAATTCAATATTTTCTGCAACCACGACATGAACAAATCGACTCATACTTTAACTCCAGAACTAAAATAAAAAATTACGATCTTCTGAAACGCTTTTCAGTGAACCTAACACAATAAAAACTCAAGAGACTATGAAAACTCTACGAAAGGCCCGCTAGTCTCCGTTCAGCTGTGATCGAGAGAAAACGCTCGTGTCTGTGGTCCTAAATTTTAAAATTTTTAACTTTTACGGTAACGTTATCGGAACTCCTTTAGCATTTTTTCCATGATCCGTATTAGAGAATTACCGAATTTTAGTGAAGTCCGTAAAAGAAAGTGCGAATAGAAAGAACAAACCTATTGCAAAAGGGTTTTCATTTTAAATGACGCGGACGTTTAAAGTCAGTGAAGGACGCTTGCTTGCGAGGGTAACGTGTGACAGCCTTGCCCACGAGGGACAATACAGCCTTTATTTTCTTGTCCAAGCCTACCTCTTCCCATGAACACCTAAGCCGCTTACTCTTAACTCTGTAACAATTTGTAAGAAACAAACAATTTGTACCATTTTTACTCAACTTGATTTCGGTTTTTAACTTGTGTTTATTTAGCTCTTGCATTTCAAGATGGCTGGTCTGAGAAGAAAACGATTAATTGAAAAGGCTTCCAGTCCTGTTAAACCGAATGCGAAGATCAAATCGCAAAATGAGCGAGGGGAAATTTGTAAATTTTGCAAGCTGGTTTTTCTTAACTTCAATGACGCTAGAGTGGTCTGTGATCGTTGCGGGGATATCATCTGCAAAAATTGTGCAAAGTTGAGCAAGACAGACTGCTCGGTTATTCGCAGAAACAAGACTGTTTACTGGTGTTGCCAGGACTGCCAAAAAACCTGCACTTAGCACTGTAATAAGCGAAAAGATGGTGGAAGAGAAGTGGTCTTCTATGTTTTCTGTCTTTAAGGCCGAAATGGAAGAAACCAACAAGCAAGAGTTGAGAAAGAGAGCCGAAATGGATGAGAACCTCAAGAAAGAATTGAGTTTGTTGCGTAGCAAATTGCACTCGTTACGAAATGAGCTGGTGGAAATGGAAGATCATCTGCACAAAACAGTAAATAGCGATAACACAGAAGGTAAAGGCCGCAAAGAGGTCATCTCTGATCTCGCCAGCGAGAGCACTCGTAAACTGCTGGATAGAAAGAGAAGACTTAATCTTGTTTGGTTTAACGTTCTCGTAAGCAATGCTTCGGATGCTGAGTTTATTACTGATTGTTATGCCAAGGCCCTTAACGTCGTTGTGTATATAACGGCATGCTAGAGGCTGCGATCGAAAGACGCTATCACCGGTAGACCGCTGCTGGTAACTGCAGGATACAGCCGAGGTCGGACATGTGCTAAAGGCTGCGAGAAAACTAAGGGAATCCCAAGAGTTTAATTACAATAGTTTAATTCAAGAAGGATGATACCCCTTTAGAGAGAGCAAATTTTTGCAAGAAATGGCAGAAGAGACTCAGGCGGAAAAACACGGAGACCCAGGACAACCGCTCTCACGATGTTAAGATAACACCGGCCGCACACGGTCAGTCAGCGGAGCCGCAAGACAATTAAGAATGCATGTCCATAGATTCAGGCCTGTAAATAATGTAAGAAGTAAACGCATGCATCAAAGTAAAGTGCACAAAAAGTTATAAAATGTTTTCACACGAACTCTGATTTTGTTTTGAATAAAAAAAGTGAACTGTTAACTGTGATCGAAAACGAGTGCATAGACATTATTAGTATTGCAGAAAACACTCCCTAAAAGCCTCTAATGGGGCCCAGCAAATCAAGTTATCTGCAGAGCATCAATCAGCTAGAGAATTAGTGTGGTGCGAACTTTCTCTCAGAGGCATAGATAGATCTCTATACACGATGCCACCTAGGCGTCGTGTATAGATCACCAAACAGTTCCTCTGAAACGATAAAGTAATAAACAGTCTTTTACCGAGCATGACTTGCAGTGGGTCACACACGTTGATCTTTGGTGATTTTAATCATCCAGAGCTAGACTGGACAGATCAATCCTCTCCAAGGGATGAGAATCACCCAGCATCCTTGTTCATGGAGTCTGTGAGAAACTCCTTCCTAGTCCAGCACGTTACCAAGCCAACCCATTACAGAAGTAAGCATACTCCCAATTTTTTAGACCTGGTGTTTACTAGTTATCAGTGTTAGATGAGCTTCGTCACGAGGCTCCTTTGGGCAAAAGCCATCACCAATCATTGTTTCCCAGTCTGTAGTGCTGTACAGAAAAAACACCTCGAAAGCGTGAGCGTTTGAATTTTGCGAGAGGCGACTATGGAAAACTCCGTCAAGCAGTGAATGCATTGAATATTTCGAACTGTATTAAGGACATGAATGTGGCTGAATCATGGTCATTTTTCAAGGACACGGTTATGTCTGCAGTTGATGCGTGTGTACCTAGTTAAGCTTGGTGGAGCAAAAAAAAGCTCAGTGGATGAACAGTACAGTTCTAGCTAAGCTGAAAACAAAGAAGGAAGCCTACCATTCACTGACTCGTAGCGATGTTGACTATAACCTATACGCAATAGTTCAAAATCAAGCTAAAGAAAGCTGTCGTACCGCAGTAAAAACCTTCGAAAAAATATTGCTAAAAATGCAAAAAAGTAACCCGAAAGCCTCCTTTTTGTACGCTAGCTCGAAGTGCAAGATAAAGGACGGTATTTCTGATTTGAAAGTAGATCAACGAAAGATATCCTCTGATGAGGGCAAGGCTAACGTTCTTAATCAGTTTTTCAGTAGCGTATTCACTGAAGAGGTCTTGAACAGTATTCCAGCTATTGAGGAGCACCCAGTAGGCTCTAAATTAACAAGTTTTGAAATACAAGAAGAGATTTTCAAGCGCCTTATCGCTTTATATCTAAACAAGTCATGTGGACCGGACGGCTTCCACCCCAGATTACTCAACGAGTTAGCAACTGTCCTAGCCGGAACTCTGGCGCCATTTTTTCGAAAAACTTTGAATGAAGGGATCTTGCTGAAGCGGCTGTTGCGTAAATTGAAGTCTTTGGGAATTGAGAGTAATCTACTCAAATGGATCAGAGATTTTATAGTAGGGAGACAACAACGTGTCAGTATTAATAGGTCCGTATCAGACTAGGTTTCAGTGCGCAGCGGCGTGCCACAAGGAAGCGTTCTCGGGCCTGTTTTATTCGTTGCATTTATAAACGATCTGTCAGAAGCTGTGTCTATAGCTTGTGCTCGATGTATGCTGACGACGCAAAAAATTATAATACAGTGATGAATACGTCACAAAAAGTACAGTTGCAAGGTGATCTTGACAAGCTGGTTGACTGGGCTGATAAGTGGCAGCTGTAGATTTTATTCTAACGCTGCAGTGGAGACTAGTGGCGAATACTGCGACTCGAAAAAAAGTCATCATCGAATCATATGATGACGCATTCATTCCAGTATTTGTCACCATCTAACCCATACTTAATACGCAAACGACTTTTTAGGAGCGCCAGAAACTCCAACCCAGTCATTGATGCCCCACACAATGAAATTCTCGGTGAATACCTGAGCTCTTCCACCATGGTTGAACACTGGATGTGACAATCTTGAATTCAAAAAGTCTTTTGCGTTAATTTTTCTAGCGTTTGGCCACTCCTCGAATACTCTCATTTTATTATTACCTTTTTTCATACATATTCCCATCTTCTCTGCAGAGGGAGCACAGAGGTATGGTTAATATTTAAATTAGCATTAGATGGCAGAATTTTATTATTGAAACACGTACGAATAATGACCAGAGAATGCATAATATTCCAATTTGCAGGAAATCTAAACTCTTCAGATGACGTTAACACATCAAAAAGCAGGTCTCAGCAGGGATTTATAATATATTTAATGACGTTTCGAATGTATCAACATTCATTTTCAAGTAAATAGAAGCATTGAAGAAAGAGATTTTGGTGGGCATAAGTACATAATACATGTAAATAGGATACAACAAGGAAATTCTAAACGGAAAATTACTCTGCAAACTATCTAAAAGTTCAAAGAATTTTGGTAGCCTGAAAACCAATTGGAATATAATGCATTCTCTGGTCATTATTCATACGTACCTGTTTCAATAATATTTGAATATACACAAAATTGAAGATACACAAAAACAATAAAATACAAAAGAATTCAAACAAACGAGGAAAAATGTCTAAATGTTCAAAAAAATAATCATATTAACACTGAAAATCACTATAAATTGATCTTCATATGTGCTCATATACGTAAAAACAACTCTACTTGCTATGTGCAAGCCCTCGAAGACTTTACCTGTTTTGATACCATCAAGATTACGTATAAATACCTTCGAATAAGAGAGTAAAGTACCAACATATTTTTGTTTCCGACCATTTTTCCCTTTATATTTTCAGGATTCTTTGTGCCACCTCTGTCCCGCATTTCTTAGAGCCCAATATCAATGAAACTCGACACCAATAAACCAACATCAATGTAAGCCAACATCAATGTAAGCCAACATCAATGTAAGATCAATATAAGCCAACATCAATGTTTGCCCACATCTATGCCGCAGCTCGAAGAGAGGTGTTTCGTGATATCGAGTTCGATTGATATGATAGGATAGTTAGTGTATCCCAGTTTGTTATACGTGATTATTTTCGTTTATTAATGCTTACTGGTGATTATGTATTCATTACTTTACAGCAAATCAATAAGTATTCTAAATTTTTATAGAAAGCTCTTGAAGCATATTTAGTTATGCTCTCCGCAATGTGCTCATGTGTACACTTAAATTATTGGAAGATATTCATAACGTTCTTTGATAAATTTATACCAGGATCATGGAATTATTACATTTGGGATGAATTAACAAAGTTCTTATGAATTGGATGATTTTGCAATAAAGGCCTTCCCCCATAATATGGGTCACATATAATCACCAGTAGGGAGACATAGGGCAGGCCACCGCGTACAGTGTGGTGTGCGGAGTGATGTCAGTGATGGTGTACTGCATCACACCCTCGTAGTTGTCAAACGCGTGGTCCGGGTATGTGTGTAAACACTGTAGATACATTCATTCGTAAATATTGTTTTATATTATACCCGAACTCATTGCTTTCGTATTGGGATAGTAACAAGCCCAGAGCTTCAAGTTATCCACATATGGCCCAAAATAATTTTTGACTTAAAAAAACATCAAATCATTGACCAAAATGCGTATTTAACCAACTTCTCATTAACCCACTATCAAGGTTGTCCAACAGCTTAATTTCAAGTCAAATTGGCAAGGCTATTTGGCAAGCTCTCACTCATTTTCTTAATCGTCATTGAGGCAAGGAATGTTCGACGACTTATGCCCCTATCAACAAATAAACGTTTAATATTGATTGATCAACTTGAATTCGATAAGTTAAGTTAATATATTCATCTCTCTATGCTTGTACTATGAAGTTAAATAGATCACCAACCTTAGCTAGTAGGACGAGGGATGAAATGGTCTCACTGTACGAGTGAGCCTCTAAAGACATGACGACTGGACCAGGGCGCTGGTCGGTCATGTCGAACATTCATAGACGTGAAGATCATCAGAGAAGCAAACAGAGAAGAATATCTTATTTATGCTTCTTAATACGCGCAATTTGAAAATATTAAATCAATTTGCAACACGGGCTAAATTTTTTGCGTATATATAATATATTTCTACGTTTTCAAATCTAATGACATTCAGAAATCAGTAGTAAATGTAAAAAATATAACTCAGTATATACTCACTGCAGTGAGTGTTAGAGAGTGCATTTTCTGATCGACGAAAACGTGAAGTCACGGACGGTCAGACAGACAGACGGACGGACAGACGGACATGGCGAGCACAATAGCGCCTTTTTTCCATAAATGAGAAAATGTGCTAAAAAGACGAACAAGAAGTATGTCGCTAACAGTTCTATGTGGCATAAAACGATACGTAGACGTCCGATTCCCTCAACTGTGAAAAACCCTTACAATATGGATAGACACGACTATACATGTATTTTAAATTGATAACATTACTCTGTCAATTTGCTTGATACGTGAATGCAATTATTAATAAAATAGGTATTAGGGATGCAATAAATGTATTTCATTGTTATTAAACGAATCTGCAAAATATTAAACAAAATTTAGAAGAAAACCAACTCTACGTCTCGAGTTTTGTGATTTAAAGAGTCTAGAATAATAACGTGTATGAACCGAGCGGCTTCTTTTGTACGATTATCAAGCGGCATCCCACACAACATGAAACAATAAATAAGATTCATGCTTTTTACAAAGTGACAGGAAATGACGTCAACCTCAAAAGATCCTAATTGAGTTTGTTTCATTGTTAACTTCTACCATGTGTTCCGGAATGGTTTCCATGTGGCAGGGGTTGAATCCGTCTTCCATCGAAATGACTTTCGATCGTCTAAGTTCGCTCGCGATATAATCTGCATAGACGTCAGCGAGGAGTCTGGAACATGTAATAATATGCATTTAAAAATTAATTTATAAAGACAACACTTCTAAAGAATCCAGTGTCTCCGATGTTACACATGTACAATAAATTTTTAATTTTATTATGAAATATTAAAAAATTAATTTTCCAATCTTATTTTTGTTATTAAAAAAATGTAAAATTTTCAAAATTCTTTATTCTGTCAATTGATACACGCATTGTGTCCGACTTCACGCATTTCAGATCGATTGGACAATGAGAAGTGAGTTAAATATTGATTATAATTTATGTAGCAGACAAAATTTTTTTTTCATATCAAAAACTAAATTTTTAAAATTTTCAAAATTATTTTCTGTCAATTGATTAATGCATTGTCTCCAATATACTCAAGTGTGCAAAATTTCAGATCGATTGGAGGTAGAAGTGTGTTAAATATCGCCTATAAGATTTGTAGCCGACAGACAAACAAACAAGAAGTGAAGTTAAAGATAAGTGTTGTAAAATTAGCTCATGACATAGAAGCGGCGTATTTTGTTCTTACTCAGCCGAAAACATTTGACTAGAATGAAGAAAGTTATAGTTGAACTGTTCATTGCTAAAATTTTGGTCCTCTTAGTTTTAGGAAAAATGGGATTGAGATTAGCTAATGGTGTGGGTCTCTTTGAGAAAGGTAAAAAAATAATATGGTAACGCTCTTTAAAGTTATCTTTTATATTTTTTATTGGTACGGCAAACTGAGATTTGTAGTGTACCTTTCTGGACTTGTAATCAAGACAAAACCAAGATAAAATTCAACAACGCTGCTTATACTCTATAGATAATAAGAATACGCAAAAGAAATATGTAGCTAACTCCAATTAATTTTTGAAGCGTGCTTATTTGAATCGGGAAACTGCATGGAAAGGTAAAAGGGACTCACAAGTGTAAATTTTGTAGCTTCGCTTCTGGGTCGTGATTGTAGATCATATTTGAAAATATGAGAGCCTGACTCCATCCATTGATGTGAGCTCCAGACGAACCAGAGTGGAAACTTCGGGACACTTCTGGCACCAGGGCGTGCCGTCCCCGTCTTACAGACTCTGCGTGTAGTCGCCAGTCCCAGTCCCAGGATGCATCCTGTTAAGATAAAGATACAATTTCAGTATCATTCACTTTCCGAGAATTAGGTTTCTAACGCCTATTTTTGTCTAGGATTAATGATTTTAAATTTAGCATTAAACGTTCTTCTATTCTTTCTCGTATGAAATAAAAACCATAATTGATACACTTATTACACGAAGAAATTTAATTTGCATTTCACCAACCATTATCCATGTAATTACGTTCCATAGAATGCATAGATAAAGCCTTGGTGCCTTTCGTGACCAGTTAGTTTATAAATAATAATATTAGTACCCGGTTCTGAAACGAGGAGGTGAAATATTAATTCTACCCTGCTCACCGAATTATCGACCCAAAAGTGAAGGATTTCTTGAGCATAATCTCTAGTAACCATCCAGCCGAACTGAGGGAACATTTGTGAGCGCCTGACACGCGTCACGTCAACGGCGACCGTTGGGAAGCTGTTGAGGGAGAAGCTGTTCACGACGTAGAGTGTTGCATCCGCATCAAGCAGCCACGCCGTCTGGTGGAAGTAACTGCAATGAAGGAAGAAACAAAATCACAGTGTGGTGTCATCATCCACCAGTCATGACTTTGAAGAAATTAGTTTTTGAAAGGTTAAAAAATCCTGCCGTCTAACGAAATAGATGTTACTCGACTGTTACATCTGTATCTAGCTGCAGCCATGACGACTGTAGGAAGTATCTGTTCGGGAAGGCAGAAATCAAATCTTTCTCTTATTAGTGAACGCTCTTATTAGTGGAGGCGCAATCAGGGACGATAAATCTAATCTGTTTTCGACACTTTTTCTTTAACTTTCAAAAGATGAAAACACTATTAATGAATTGTAAAAAGTGATTAATGGCTCATTTTGATGGATTTTGTGCAATCGCGTCTTCATCATAAATTAAAAAATATTGTTTTATGCCCCAAGTTTTATTCCGACAAAAAGTAATCGATGGCACGAATAAGCATTACGATAACTAAAAGCAGTGAATTCTCTTCAGAGCAATTGAACGTATTGAAATATCGGTTAATTTTGTATTCAATTCAATTGCTCTTTGAGTAGGGTGTATAGGCATTATCAACTCAAGTATCATAACTATAATAATCACAGTAGTGAACATTCCTGGAAATACAGGAGAACGAGCAATTATGTGCGACAAGAACTTGCCTTATGAAGTCAGGGGAGACGATGAGGTCGTCCTCTAAAATGATGACTTTAGAAGCGTTGCTGAAGGTTGAGAAGGCCGTGAATAAAGAGAATTTGAAGTGGGCGTTGAGGGGCGTGCTGGTGCCTGCTTCTCCCTCGTGGCGGTGCTCGATGACAGGCAAGCTGTGTAGTGTGCATTAGGGTGGGACAATTAATAAAGCTTTTTTTTTTGACAATTCGTTATCAGACTAGGATTTTTATGTAAACATCTGCAAAATCTATCCCTTCCCAACTGATTGAACAATAAAACTTTTTTTCAATTTTTTCAGACACAAAACAAAATAAAAATATGGGGTTATAGCGTAATTGGAAAATCTCTCTCTGACGAAAATAAATGAATCAGTTATTCATTTATAAGTCAGTAACACATATATATGACATGTAAACTGTAGCAGTAATATAAAAAGTTTACTTATTAATTTCAGTTTTTGTTCAAAATTTATTAGAGAATGTTGCTGACATGCCCAAGATAGTTAAGAAATTCGTTCTAAAAGAAAATAATTTGGCCAGAGTGGTCGGGAATTGGAGCCCGACAACTATCGTTAGTGTGTTCTTGAACGAGCGCGCTCATAGTCGGGGCCAAAGTGCTACAGAATTTAGAAATAGGATAAGTGTACTTTACGACGTAAAGTCTTATTCACCTGTCTTAAGCAGAACACCGCTCGTGGTTTCAAAGTAGAAGTTAATTCAAAAAACCGATTCTTTTTAGTTACATTAACAGATGTTTATTAATGATACCCAGCTTATCCGAGCCATGAACAATATATTATTTAACAACGGAATGGCCCTACCGGTGCCATTACGCACATTGCATGTACTGTTTTTTCGCCACATTATTATGTAGTGTCACTAGATATATGCGAAAATTACTGAAGAAAACACCGCAGAATACAACAAATTCATGTACATCTGAGTGCTCGCATTAAATTACATGAGCTATGCGCATGATAATCTTGCTGCCAGTGAATTCTCACTTCATAGAAAATATTGCACAGAAAAAATAGTCATGAAATTACTTTATTGATGGCAGTCAAATTAAATAAAACACTATAGTAAGGCCTCGTATGAAACCATTTGAATACAATTGTAATTTGAAAGTTTTCGCAAACAATTCTTTCACAAATGTTTCTTCTGGATCAGTAGACAAAAATATAAACTAAAGAATAACTAACCCGAAGATGGAGGCTAGTTGTGAAGTTTCTTCCTGGTGCCCGTCGGTGAGAACCAAAATATCTGTTTGGGCTGCACCCTTTGCCAAAAGGAGACTTATGAGTTGCCTGAAAACAGAGCATTATAAATATGTTATAACTCATAATTAACAACTTCTAGTTACAACAGTTCCTATGGAAAGACAGACAAATTATCATGCTGATAAAAAAGTTCACATACCGGTAGAAAAAGTGACACTTGGTGGCGGTTAGCATGGCGATGGGGATTACTTCCGACATTTGGATGTGGTCCTGAATGTGTAGAAGTAGTTTTTAGCAATAGGTGAGGACTTTGTTCAGTTTAAGTCAGCTTAGGACAATAGTAACATACAGGGTGGCGCGCGGTAATTTGCTGATTTGGGAATGAAATAAAAAAATTATGATCACCTGAAAAATTTATATGATATTTAAATTATACTGAACGGTAATGGAATTTATAAATTACATGGTTTTAAATAGTGTATCTTGCAAATGTCAACCTTCGCATTCCACACACTGCTGCATACGTTTTCTGAAGTTTTCATGAACTCTGACAAGCATGCCCACTGGTATTCTGCCAATTTCAGTTTCAATATTGTTCCTTATGTCTTCCAAGGTGTTGGGGCGGTTGATATACACCTTAGACTTCAGGTAACCCCTAAGAAAAAAGCGCATGGGGCTAAAACTGGTGAGCGTGCTGGCCAGGTCACATCAACCCTCAAAGAGATAAGCCGTCCAGGAAACATTTGCCTCAAACAATTCATGGTCACTCTTGCTGTGTGTGCAGTGGCACCATCCTGTTGGAACCATGTATCCTCTAATTCCATTACCTCAAGAGCTGGCTGAAAATAATCCTGTATCATAGACAAATAGACAAATGCTAAGACATAGACAAATGCCAAGAGCAAATGATTGCTTCAGAGCAGAGCGTTTCGGAGATTGCAGTACTGCTGCTCTAACTCTCTCGATGTTTCGTGGTGTTGTAATCCTTCTCTCAGGTCCCCTTCGTTGACATTACACATTCCCTGCTGTTCTGAATGCATTCACCCAATTTACAATTGATTGCCGTCCAGGAACACGTCCGCTTGAAGGAACAGCGAATCGTGAACGAAAAGTACACTTCACTGCAATGATCGGGCGGGCATTTGAAAAAATACGCTTCTACACCAAATGACCTCTCCTAACATGTCCACTGCATGATGGCAACTGAGAGCCAGACGAATACAAATTTCCCGCCATCCACTGTAAGCCACGACCACTCTCCTCTGTCTTCGACCGTCAGTGCCGCCACAGCATACAGTGCAAATAAGCAAATTACCGCGCTCCACCCTGTATAATGCGCATGAACTAGGGCAAGGTTGTTATGAGTACTCAATGCAAGATTTCAATTGATACTGAATATCCTGAGAACAAAATCCAATATTTTATGCAGATTAAACGTAGTATAGACATATAATTGGCCAGAATTATTTTCAAAAAGGAGCACCGATGAATTTCTCAGTCGGAGAGGATCCAGAGGGTCTCTGCAGCGGCACAAAGTCCCGTACCCTTCGTAGCGGCGACAAAATTCCGCCTGCTTCTGTCGTCTGGCGTCGTAATGCCATTCACATTCTGCTCCTACACAAGAGTTTATGTATCATATGTGGCGCCAAAAATCATTGCCATGATAGGTTTGCAAAATCTAGATTTCTATTTCTGATACCTTCATAAGAAGACTTTAGATGTTTGAGCTGCTGTGATACTTACTTCTACCTCTTGGTATGAGCAAGGAAACGTCCATGTTAGACTGCAAATTCTTGTCGCCTTTGAAGATCACTGCTGCTTCAAGATATACGCGCGCTACAAACTCCTCCTGTACATAAGTTAGCAGCTTAATACAAAAAATTTATTTCCAATAAAGACACAATAACCATATCATTAATGCGATTTCATCCCGAAAACTCATCCTGTAGCAAATCATGACGATGAACTCTGAGACTTTTTAACTTTATATGAAAAAATGTGTAGGCGTTATGAAATCGTAATTCTTATGACACCATCTGATGAATTTCTCGCAAATACGAATAAATAATGCAATTTATAACCATGTAAACTGTAAAGTATATAATTCTCAGAGAAATCATTCTTAGGCGTTAATCAACCTAAGAAATTACAGAGAAGTATAGTTACCTCTGCATTTTGTGGCGGCCAGCTATCGGGAACAACACAAATCAGTATAGATGGGTCATCGGTATCAATGTACCCATTATACGGCATGAGATTGTGTTGCTGACCTCGTAGCTCTTTTCTCATTTCTCCTTCAGGAGTGAGTACAAGCACGTCGTAGGGCATAGTCTTGTTTCTCGTTTGTCCGGCTGCTGCTCTTTGTTTTAGCTGTGCGGGGTCGATAAGATATGGAGACGAGCCTATCCCTTGAGCCCAGTCAGCGCCTGTAGGAAAATGGATGAGATGAGTTGCGCAGGATATATCACGACATAGATGAAGCAAGCGATGAGACAGGTGAATGTGCAAGTAATCTTGGGGAGCAATATAAAGACGAATGCAATGATTCACGCTTCCAATAATTGATGCAATACAAACAACAACAAAAGAAATTTACCTAATTTGAGAGCTCCTCCCACAGTGTCCCCTTTCATCCCCAGGTACTGGAGCAGCTTGCGCTCTGTACTCCTTAGGAAGTCCCCGGCGCTGAACTGAACGAATCAGTGCTCAAAGATTAGATAAGGTATAATGGATGGCATCCGTGTTATCTGTGATCATACATGATCGTGAACAATGATCGTGATCATACGTGATCGTGAACAATGTCATACTTCGAGATGAGCGATAATAGCACATATTATTATAATGACTATTGGGCATGCCAGATGCGAGTTGAGAAAACCAAAGCTATTGGATGCTCTTTGTTCTTTGTATAAAGCTTAGCCTTTTAATCTTCCCTGGTTGACCAACACAGTAACAATCATTAAACTTCAAGGCTTCATGTTGGGTCACGCACAGCAGTTTAGTCTAGGAGGGCAAGTCGGCGCACTCATCGTCATGCCCGGACTGCTCGGAGCTCCGGGCTGCCGGTTGGTTAAGTTTGGACCCAGCACTCTAGTGTCCAGGGTTAAATAAAGCACTCACCATCATAACCAAGACAACCAGAGCCCCAGGCTGCAGGTTGACCAGAGTCTGTCCCAGCAATTCAGTCTCCGCGGGCTGCCCCGTGCGGAAGTTGCGGCGAAGCATCACTTCACCGTCTCCTGACATCACCAGCGCGTGCACACCATCCGTAATGTGGCCTTGCGCGCTGTAGACCTGACATTCATTTCAAAGTTACTTGTTCAATAAAAACTATCTCGAAAAATTAGGCGTAGATCGTGCTTTCTGTTAATATTAGAAAATTCGTTCTTAAATGTATGACCTAATATTTCGTGATTGAAAAAGCTCATAACCAACGTAGCTTTGAATAGTCACCGAAAACTGCAGAGCATGCCATATTTTTATTTCCAAGTTGGTAAAAATTTTAAGAAACCAGAAAACGTTTAATAGGTAAAGAGAACTTTATAGAAAAAATACTAACTAAGACCAGAATTTTGAATGATAATGAAATCAACACATGACAGAATCTGCTTATCACAGGGCAAACTATGGAAGTCAAATAATGTATTGAATAAAAAGTGCTAATAATATTAACACATTTTTAAATCAATGAGAACATGGATTCAAAAATTTATAATCTCACACTCACAGGAGTTTTACAAAACTAACATAGCTACGAAATTGCAAATCAGCCTACCACTCTATCGTCCACAAGAACCTTGAGATTCTCATTTGAGGCCACCAATTGGACTTCAAAAGCACCCTTTCTTCGCTCTGTAAAATAGTACAGTGAATAATCAATTTGAAATTGCTAATATTGATTACAATTTAGTTTAATTTACATCGATCGGTAGGCTTATACGCGCTGGGAGCGTTTTTCCTTACTTAGTTTTTAATATCTTTTGAGTATCTTTCGGTTTTCAGTCGCGATTGTACTTAAATTCTATATACTTTTTGAAATGATGATGAAGCTGATCTCCGGAACGTCTCCGTTGAGAATATGGTTAAATTTCAAGACATTTTCTTTGTTTTTTTTAATTCTTGGTGAACTTGTGATTTAAGCAGAGCAATGATATAATTAATTACTTAAACAATCTGACTTTATGGAGATTAGTAAACTAGATCTAAGTAGTGAAAGTTTATTGTGAAGGTAAAGCATATTTGTGTGATCTACAGTAACTACGTGATCCACAAAATTTTAAGTCCCTCTGAATCTACAAGTCTTTTGTTCCACATTGCTAAATAGCAGTTGATGCTGTTGGCTGACAAACTAGGCAATGAGCCTTTGTTTATTCACCTCCGATTGATCCCAAAATGCCCAAGAAAATTCAATGTTCAAAATATCTTTTCTTCCCGTGATAGCTTGCCTATGATATGAATTATGTTGACAATATAAGCATTTACGTAAGGATATATCAACCGTCATCTATGTTATTCCTATCAAAAGGCCTCGGAACGAGATTAATCATCCGAAAACAGGGGTTAGGGACGAAATATATATCTTTACTGCATGATCCTGTGGCAGCTTAACTTTCTCATGTCAATAAGGCTATGAATTAAAATATATTCAGTATGGGTCATTTAACTCATAAATTATTTTTTCAACTATAAATCTGTGCAGCGGCATACGATCGCTGCATTTGATAATAAAGCAGTACCAAATTAAGGCAGTGGGTCGTCCAATATTTTATTTCAGTATAGGGCGTTTGAAAACGTGTCTTCAGCTGGAGTAAAATTGGCCTTTCATGTGTAACATTGGCCCAAAGTTAAAAAAAATTAATAATATCAACAATCACAGGCTTGATTGGTGATCACGTATTAGTTTAGTTCATAGGATCTACAGTATTTTCAACTTTGGGCCAATGATAAACTTGTAAGGCCAGTCTAACCCCAGCTGAGGGCATTTAATAACTAAACAACGAGCTGAAAAGTTACTAGATGTCAATTGATTGACATTAATTGATTGAATTAATTAACTAGATGTCAAATTAATTGTAATTGTTAATATATTTATATTTGTTATTATTCAAAGTATAATTGTAAATTTAAGTATATTCATCATTATTTAAATATCATGTGTATCACACTCAGCAACTGATCTAAAATCTTGAAAGACTGAGAAGTATTTTCTGGCTTACTCACGCCACTCACCCCGTAAACGTGCCTCAGTTGTCGGG